TTAATGATCTTATGATTCGGTAGACTGAAAAGTAATGCACACATGCTTGTAAAACACGAACAAAAACAAATAGCAATATTGGACAAAAAGTACATTAAAGCACATTCTTAAGCTTCAAAATCATATATTTATTTTTCAACACAGTCACCGTTAATTAAGGCTAACACATTTCTCCCAATGTGTAACAAGTTTTTTCATTCCGTCACTGAAAAATTCTTCTGACTTTTCTTGAATCAAGGACTTGACAGAAGCCTTCACCTCATCGTCTGAGGTGTAATGATTACCCTTGAGGTCTCCCTGAGTAGGGGGGGGGAATTGCAAGGCGCAAGATCTGGGGAATAAGGAGGGCTAAGAATCAGTTCAAACTTCAGGTTTCGCAGAGCATCTCCAGTCGCGTGCTAGGTGTGTGGATGAGCGTTGTCATGTTGCAAGATTATTGGCGCCAGGCTGCCTCTAATACAAGAAAAAATCACTTGGAGACAATAATCTTGTTTTACAAGCATGTGTGCATTACTTTTCAGCCTACCCTTGTATTTCCACAGTAATGTTTTCAGATGTATTTAACTTCAATGTTCAGAAAACTACCTAAAATATCACAACTTAAATTCCAAAAAAAGAACACACAAATTCCAAAGTTTAAATATAATATCTCATTGACAAATTACAAAATTCAAATATGGAACATTACATAATTCTGAAATTTCAAGATTTTCAGAATTATGTAATGTTCCATGTTAAGTTTGCAACATGTATGATTGTCTGAAGATGGGCATTAAATGTCTGAAAATGTTACCATAGAAACAATAAATTGCTGGAGGAAAAAGTGTGAAGTGTTTTAATATAAAAAATAACAAAACATTGACACTATTAACAGAAAAAGTATGTTACATGAGTTTGTCATTGATGATTCATTATTTCAATGTTTTCAATATACAGTAGAACCTCCATTATCCGGATTTTCGATTATCTGGATTGTTCAAAATAAACAAAAATTTTACGAATTTGCTGATCTGCACTTGGCGAATTACGACACTGTTTATGTACGTGATGGAATGCATAACTTTTTTTGTTTCAACGCCTCACCCAGCACAGTGGTCGTAAACTCTTAAATATATTTTACGTAGTAATAAAAATATAACTTGACATACGTATTTATAAANATTAATTATTTTTAAATTCTCACAATTACCATTGGATTCTGGGATAGGCAGTCTGCTTAACCATTCTCTCTTCTTGCCTGGTAATTGATCTCAAATCATATTGATTGAGCTTTAGTGGCCATTTGAACAGTGTACAATTTAATTTCTTGATAGATTTGAGCCACTTAAATGCATGATGGTTTGCTATTACAATGAACTTGTTACCATATAAATAATGGTACTAATATTCAGTTGACTTCTACAATTGACAAACATTCCAGCTCTGATGTGATAGTTGGTTTGATAGAGCAATGATTTTCTAGAAAAATATCTTATAGGATAGAGTTTTCCATCTTTTGTTTTTGTTTCAGTACTTCTCCTATCCCCACTTTACTTGTATCATTATAAAGAATGTGCTCTTTCATTTGGTTAAATATTGCAAGTATTGGGTCAGATATTAAATGTTTTTTATAGTTTCGAATGAATTTTGACAACTTTCTGCCCACCTAAATTCTCAATATTTCTTAAACAGTTGGTATAGTGGGATAACAATTTTAATAAATGCACTGAGAATGAATTTGTGATAATATATCACTTTTCTGAGGAATTTTTCACTATTGTAATTCTTTCACATTTTTTGGGAGAGAAAACTCGTGTATTGATTTGGTGTTATTATTTAATGATGATAATTTATTTTTTTAGAAATAATGTGGCTCAAATATTTAACAGTTTTTCTGGCAAATTTGCATTTACTTAGTTTTAATTTTAGTTTTTTCTTCCTGAGAGTAAGTCTGTGCCATTCTTCTATCTTGTTCATTTCTTGTCTATTGAGTTCTAGCATATGCATCAATA